TAGGGCGGAAGTGGGATAAGAAGGTAAAAAGTAGATAGATAGACCAGGACAGAAAGAGGAGTGATAGTTTAACCGTTTTCTACAGAACGGTTGTCGAGGCATTGACTTCACGTGTCTCTTTGACGAATTCGTAGCTTGGTGCGGAGAATGGCAAGTCTCACGGATGATGCAGACTACGATGGCGGCGAAACGTTTGAGAATGTACCGATTACACTGTCTGATGTTGGGAATCATGACAACTACTATGGCAGACGACTTCGGACTAGGTGCGCTCTACCAAGTTGCGACAACGAGGTCAACCCATTTCACTAAATCTTTAAATGCCTCCAAGTGTCATTTAATGCCAACTATGTTGTGTAGACTTGAAAGCCTAATTTCAGTGAAATAATGTGGAATGCCATTTTACTCTTGAATGCCAGTACTTTTAGAAGACGCGATTCCAGCTCTGATGGTGTCCATCATGTGATGGACTGCCAAACTGCTGCACTACATCGAGGACTGGCCATCGTTTTCTGGCGAGATCAACACACGAATCTCTGCTTCAAGCAGTTTCATACAAAATGAATGCCAAGATGCTGTGGTCTCTGGCATGGTCGCAGTCTCCTTTCGATTTATAGAAATGGGTTGACCTCGTTTGAGAATGTATCAAGTCCACTGTCAGATGGTAGGAATCATGACAACTTCAGACTAGGTGCCTTCTACATAGTCGCTCTGACAACAAGACCAAGTTGCGACCACGAGGTCAACCCACTTCTTTGTTAATATAATTTGTTGTATGAGTTGTGTTCACCTGATTTCGTTTATTGTCAGGAAGGACTAGTAGTTTATTTTCCCCATAGATTGTTTATGTTTCCATCACCATCATGCCTTACATGAGGTTACAATATGAAATATCATCTGCCTTAGAAATGGGATAGAGGTTGAATCCACTTGAAATTACAAGTTGCACTTTAATCTGTATGTGTTAACCTCCATACGCAGGCTATGCTTTTCTAGCCAGTTAAGGTTACTGGTTTATGTTACTTAATTCTATATGCAATTACAATAGTGCAAAGCAAAACTGGGTGTCCTGATATATTTGTTAGGAGGACTGTCAGTTGGTATGAAATTGGATGAAGAAGAGATTCGTTGCTCGATCTCACCAGATGAGGACGGATGAAACTCGTTGTACTGCAGCCGTTTGGCTTTCATATGATATTCATGTTGACGCAGTCGTTTTCGACCAACGAATCTCTTCTTCGTGCACTTTCATTCGAAATGAAGGTCCCCCTAACAATGTTATCTGAGGAGATTCATCGAAGCCAAGTTTCTCTTCGTATCTACAATGATATATTTGTCTTCAACCTAAACGAACATATACAACACTATTACCCGCTTTTATCGGAGCTGCCACTTTATTAGACTTCGCTCCGTCCGATAGTTTCTTTATCATTTAATTACAGCCTGGACCTGTTAGGTAACATGGCAGAAACACCTGATCCTCTCCACCCGGTCGACACATTGGTTGTGCCTCACTCGTAACTATGCTGAGAGCTCTATACTAAAAGTGGGAATAAATTCCAGCCTGTTACAGATTCAGTAATTAACAACGACTTTGTCTTTCTCTATGATTAGCTATGACTCAAAAGTTTCATGTAGATTGCAGGTCGGATGTTGATCGAAATGCAAGCCATCTGATCGAGGCAGGTCGGGGTCCAGCAAAGATTCATCTGGACTGCAGGATGGCGAGCCGAAGTCTCCTTTGCATAATCCAGTTTCCACAATTCCATGGCAGTCCTCGTTCAGTTTCCGGTGAGGCGAATTTCCTAATCTCTTTCACTATCTTTATCGAATCAAATAAAAGCTGAGTGCTAATCTGTATCACTCAGCTGGAGTCATCTCCACAAGCATGGCCAAGGTAGTAAAGTTTGTGCTTGCTGGTAGTTCGTTGGCTTTTGGTACAATGCTGCAATGATAACTTGTTCTTAAATTTTTCTTATGCCAATTGCAGTTAGCTAAACCGAGAGAGTATCTCAAGCTATCTTAAAAACTCATGTCTCAATGCCATGGAAAAGCCTGACCATGACGAACTATTTTCTATTTCCATGATTTGGCTTAGAGATTAAATTCATATTTTACAAACAATCTTGGTGTTATTTCCAGAGTTTAAAGAGACCCTTACATAAGGAGCCACATGTATATTGTAAGAAATTATGGTTTTATACAAATATTAATGTAGTTCATTTATTCTTGATATATCAGCTAAATTTCAAGCTGGTTTTGAATGGTCTGAGAACAAGCATTAAGTAATGAGATGTATTCACCCTATTTCGTGTAAGGTGATGAAGGACTGGTAGTAGAATTTACTGGTAGTCTCGAAACCCTACTCCAATAAGCATTAAGTAGATGTGACCTTTCTGTTCAGCTCATTTGAGTTATTAGGGCCTTCATGAATGACTCAGCACGAAAACCACATTGAGCCTTAGGGAGAAAGTAATCATTGTGTAACATTCAAAACATATTGTTGGGGAGACCTTCATTCCGTATGAAAGTTCATTAATAAAAGATTCGTAGATTGATCTCACCAGAAAACGATGACTGAATCCCGTATCCATTTGGCTTTAACACGACGTTCAGGTTGAGCCAGTCCACGGGACATCCTTCCTCGCTTCGGATGAAAAGTGGTTGAACTTCCATTTAGAATATGATGGACATCATTAGAGCTTCTGGTGACATCAACCTACGAACCTCTCCCTCATGGGTTTTCATACGAAATCTCAGGAGATTCATCGAAACCCAGATGTTCTTCGTATCGAAAATACATTTTATCCCTTGAAGTACACTCATTTGTTCTAATCGTAACAAATAGCTGGCTACGGAAAGATTGTATGCTCCTGTGGTCACGCGTAAGTTGTCAATATCTTTCTCATACATGTAAAAAGCTAGCTGAATACAACAATGCAGGTAAGTTGAGCTGGGTTGAACAGAAACCGAGTAGCACATGGCTGAAACAGGAAAAAGGACAGCATTTTTCGTTGAAAACCTGTAGATCAAATATATGAGATTTATTGACTCTAAGGAAGACCAGGCATTTTCCCACATCACATCCTTTGGTAAACTTTTGGAGGAACCGAGGTTATATTTGCTATATAAATCAATAAGTTTACCATTATATCATATATATGACATGATTTCACTCTAATGCGTGAGGAAAGACTTGAAGTTGAATAATTTTTATAATACTACGAGTACACGATATGTTTTAATCGAATTCCACATAGTTTTGCATTCCAAAAAGGTATTGTCATCCAGAGTTGACTGCCGTTTCAACTCGGCCTAGTTCTCATCGGCACCCCCAGCGGTCTCAACAACCTACTTTCTATGGGAAAATAAGTAAATTCGTTCGAATGATTTAGCAAATACAACTTTGCTTTATCAAAAATCCCACCACAGAATGTGATATGGGAAAATGCCTGGACTTCCTTGAAATTGACATTTGCTGTGACCCAAGGGTTAATGTGCCGCTGGGGGTGCTGATGATACCTGGAGATATAGAAACTACAGTCTACTCAGTCTGGATGAGAATAGCTTTTGGGAAATTCAATGGAAAAGTCATGTCTAGTAATATCATTGTGGGAAAATTTAACTACTATTTTGTCATCACATTAAATAAATAGTGTAAGCGCACCTTATATAATGAATAAAATCGTTTCAAACGAACCATTTGACCGTCTATTTTTAGACGAATGGTAAGGCGTGATATCGAAACTAATAAATTAGGGTATAAGTTGAGTTCAAGGAAAGTGGCAGGAAGTTAAGTAAGAATTAACTAATAGTCGTTAAATAGGCAACTCAACTAGTCAACTAGATGATACTCCCAACAAGGTAGTAGAATTCTACTACCAGTCCTTCATCACCCTAAACTAAATAGGGTGAATCATACCATAAAACTGATTTACTAGTAGTCTCAAAACTCTACTTATGTACGAAAAATAAGTAACTTAGTCGATTGTTATAGCAAAAATACGTTGGCTTCATCGACAATCCCACCAAAGAATGTGATATGGGAAAAGGCCTGACCTTCCTTGAAATTCACATCGGCCATGTGACCCAAAGACACTCGTGGCAATGTGGCCGAGTGGTTAACGTATCAAACTCACACGCTGCCCTACCACGGTTCTACTCCCACTGGGGATCGCGATAAGACATATGCGAGGTCGAAACTGCAATCCACCCTGGAGGAGGACAACTTTTGGGAAAGCAAGGCTATGTACAATTCAATGGAAACGTCAGCTCCACTCATATCATTGTGGGACAATTGTACTACCAGTCCTTCATCACCTTAAACGAAATAGGGTAATCTCGAAACTCTATTATATACGAAAATTCGTTTTTATACAGTCTCATTTGGGTCCTATGCATACCCTATTCGACATGTATTGCCAAGGAGAAAGGATATGAGGGTATCAAATGTGGGCACATAGCCATCCATAGACTATTTTTAAGTCCCCAGCAATATAAAGCTCTTGGATGGCTTTATAAA